CATTCAGCCCATTACAGGCCCAAACACTAATTGTCAGCACTGTAGTTTGCACTTAAGAGTGCAGATGTCACTGCCCTCTAAATGTCACACATGCAAATGAAGCAATATTGCATGATGATCTCAATTTATTAAAAGGTACTTCTATCTCTCTACAGAAACCCCAATCTCTAAATCATATACAAAGTGTGGTGATTGACTTGGTAACTGGCCAGGGCTGGCCCATGGTGGTAGGCAGACCACAGGGAGAATCACTGGAAGATCCCTTTCCTACCACAGCGTCCTCACCGCTCATCACAGACCTAAAATTCTTCTGTTCTTTCATTGGCATTTTACTGCCTCTGAAAATGTAAATAATCTCTGAATGAGTCATATATTAAGTGATCATCAGCTACTAACACCTTGGGGTAGAACAGCTAAGACTGCAGTCTGAAAATAATTCCATTAAAATGAATTTTAATTAGTCCTCTGCTATTGAAATTTAATAATTCTAGTATAGGTCATTTAAATTCTTTTTAAAGATAACGAGACATATAGCTTGTATAAAAACATTTCCTCATCTAATAAAGAAATCTGAGTAGAGTAAGAGGAAAGGGGTGAAATTAACATTTTTAAGTACCTGCTCTGTATTATACCCTCTGCCTGAGAATTTTTTAAATTGAGGTATAACTGACATAACTTATTAATTTCAGGTGTACAACATGATTAGGTAATTGTATATGCTGAGAACTGATCACAATAAACCATTACCATCTGTCACCATATAAAGTTATAAAATTAACTTTCTTGTTATGAGAACTTTTAAGAAATTAAAGCAACTTTCTAATATGGAATACAATATTACTGACTATAGTCACAGTACATTACATCCCCATGACTTGTTTATTTTATAACTGGCAGTTTGTAGCTTTTGACCCCCTTCATCTATTTCAACTACCCTCAATCCCTTTCCCCTCTGGCTACCACTAATCTGTTTTCTATTATGTATGAGTTTTGTTTTGTTTTATTGCACTTGAGTGAAATCATGTAGTATTTATCTTTCTCTGACTTATTCCACTTAGCATGAAAACCTTCAAGGTCCATCCATGCTATTGCAAATAGCAAGATTTCCTTTTTAACGGTTGAATTTCTTTGGTATTGCCTGTAACTTCTTATTTCTGGTTTTATTTGAATGCTTTTACTTAGTAAGGCTAGCTGAAAGTTTGTCAATTTTGTTTATCTTTTCCAGCTCTTAACTGCATTGATCTTTTCTATTGTCTTTTGAGTCTCTATCTTCAATTTGATCTTGATTATTTCCTTACTTCTAACTCTGGGCTTTACTTTTCCTAGTTTCTTTGGTGTTAAAGTTAGATTGTTTATTGAGATTTTTCTTGTTTCCTGAGGCAGGCATGTATCACTATTAACTTCCCTCTGAGAACTGTTTTTGCTGTACTCCATAACTTTTGGTTATGTTATATTTCCATTTTCATTTGTCTCAAGGCATTTTTTAATTTCTCTGTTGACCCACTGGTTGTTCAGTAGCACATTGTTTAACACATGTCTGTGATTTTTTTTAGCTTTCTTCTTTTATTTGATTTCTAGTTATATACTATTGTGGTTGGAAAGGACGCTTGATATGACTTCAGTCTCCTGAATTTATCAAGACTTGTTTGGTGATTGAACATGTGATCTACCCTGGAGAATGTTCCATGTGCACTTGAGAAGAATATGTATTCTGCTGCTTTTGGGTGGAATGTTCTGTATATATCTATTAAGTCCATCTGATCCAATGTGTTGTTTAAGACCAGTGTTTGTTTATTGACTTTCTGTCTGGATGAGCTATCCATCGATGTATGTGGGGTAATAAGTACCCCATTATTCTATTGCTATCAGTTCCTCTCTTTAGGTCTGTTAATATTTGTTTTATATATTTAGGTGCAAAAATATTTACAAATGTTTTATTTTCTTGTTGTATTGATACTTTTATCATTATGTAATGTCCATCTTCAATACTACAGTTTTTGTTTAAGTCTGTTTTGTCTGATATAGTGACCCCAGCTTTCTTTTGATTTCCATTTGCATGAAACACCTTTTCCATCCTTTCACCTTAAGTCTGTGTGTATTCTCAAATCTCAAGTGAATCTCTTGTATAGACTGGTCTTACATTTTCAATCCACTTAGCCACTCTGTCTTTTGATTGGGGAACTTACAGTCATTTACATTTAAAATGATTATTTGTAGGTATATAATTACTGCCACTTTGATAATTATTATCTGTCTGTGTAGTAGTTCCTGTTCCTTTTGCTCTCTTCCCTTGTGATTGGATGATTTTCTTTAATGTTCTGCTCATCTCATTATCTTTGTGCACTACAGGTTTCTGCCTTGTGGTTACCATGAGACTTACATGTAGCACCCTATCAGTACATATATATACTAATTTTAAGTTTATAGCAAGTTTGAATGCATTCTAAAACTGCATTTTTACTTCCCCCATTTTGTTTTTGATGTCACGATTTACATCTTATTTTGCATATCTCTTACCTAATTATTGTGGATTATTTTTTACAGCTTTTGTCTTTTAGTCCTTATACTATTTTTACAAATGAATAGACCACTACCTTTACTATGCATTTATCTTTACCAGTGAGATTTTTACCCTTTTTTTTTGTTACTACTATCCTTTTTTTATTAAGCTTAAAGATTCCATTTATGTATTTTGTAAGGCTAGTTTAGTGGTGGTGAACTCCTTT